TCAAGAGTTCAACCAGAACAACCCCAAAGCTATAAACATCACTTTTCTCTGTAAATTGGCTCGACTGGAAGTACTCTGGATCCAAATAGCCAAAAGTACCTCTCACCTGAGTAGTTAGGTGAGTCTTATCAATTGAAATAGACTTCGAAATCCCAAAATCAGACACTTTAGCTATGTACTTTTCATCCAAGAGTATGTTGCTCGACTTGATATCTCGATGATAAATAGGAATTGTAATTGCAGAGTGTAGGTATGCCAATGCCCCTGCTACTTCTGCCGCTATTTTCAACCTCGAGCTCCAGGTGAAGGGGAACTCTTCATCATTGTGAATGAGTCTATCGAGGGTTCCATTCGGGATAAATTCATACACCAGAATAGGAACCTCTGTCTCCAAACAACAACCCAGTAATTTCACCACATTCCTATGATTGACTTGTGACAGAATGACAACCTCGTTAATAAATTGCCCCAGTTGGCTTCCATCAACCTTCTTAGACTTCTTTATTGCTGCAAGATTTCCATCTGCTAGCATCCCTTTGTAGACAGTACCTTGGCCACCTCGACCGAGCACTCGATTTTCATTGAAGTGATCAGTGACCTTGTCCAACTCTTTAGCAGTGAAAATCCTTGTTTTGTTGATAACTCTATCATCAGCAGATAGCTGCTGTTGTAATAAAAGTCCACCATTTCTTTTGAAAAATTTTTCTTTGATCATTTTGTCCCTTCTCCTTTTTACTAGTTCGTACAAGGTGAAACTGGCAGCAATGAAAATTAAGACGCCTATGCCAGCGGAAACACCTGCGAATGTCCAGCATGGTGCCATATTAAAAACATTCAACTATAAAATTGAATGGCTAAGACCTGTTAAACATGAAGAAGTAGATCTACCGTATACTATTTTGGAAAATGTACACAGATAGAACAGTACGGATAAAATGTAAAGTTAAAACTGCTTGGTATTAATAATATTTTGTAAATTGATTTTCTAAAATCAGAAATTTTACGGATCAAATTTCTTTTTTGTTGACGTAACAGGAATCAATTTCACGAACGAGCCATATATTGAATTGCGTTTCCCCCTTCTTATTAAAAAAAAAAGAAAAAAAGAAATAGTGACCTCAGTTAAGTACTAAAGTAGCTACTTCAGGCATTTCAATTATAACATTTGGGCCCAACCCCAATTTGTTAATCTTGAATATTATGAAAATTAGAAGTGATAATGAAATCAAATTCAAATATTGTAGTTTTTTCTGAATTTTTGTGATCATAATGAAATTTCTCATGAGTTTTCGGTCACTAAAATCCCTCAATAAAATGGTGTTGTAGAAAGGAAAAGTAGAATTTGTCAAGAGACAACTAGGACCACAACTAGTGAACATAATTTAAGATAATTCTGTTTTTGGACAAATTTCCCAAATAATCCTTCAACTTTTAAACTAATTCACGTTTAGTCCTCCATCTTAAAAATAGGATAGAATGGTCCTTCAACAAAAGTTTTTAGGCCAAAAGTGGTCCTTATATTGTAGAGTGGCCAAGAAAAAATTGGACTAAAATGATGGTGACATTTGAACTTTCTTAGCTGTTTCACCACGTAGGGGCCACATAGAAACTTTCTTGGCTGTTCCACCACGTGGGAACCAATTTGGCTCAAAAAATTTTGTTAAAAAACTATTATATCCCATTTTTAATATGGGGGACAAGACTTGAATTAGTGAAAAATTTGAAGGACTATTTGAGAGATTTGCTCTTTGTTTTTTCTATTCTCGGTTTTCTTTTCAAAAAGTTCGTCCAGGTTTCGGAGCTTATTAATATTAATTCAAGAAGAAAAGCAGATTGGTCAAATAAGTGTTTTTTTTTTTTGGATCAGAACTAGAAGGTGTTTTCTTCCCAAAGCCATTCAAGTCAACGACAAATTCCAAGTCAAAAAGTACTTTATTGGTGTTTTTTTTTTTTTGGATCAGAACTAAGAGGCGTTTTCTTCCTAAAGCCATTCAAGTCAACGACAAATTCCGAAGTCAATAAAGTACTTTATTAAGTATATAAGTGTTTTTTTTTTTTTTTTGGGATCAGAACTAAGAGGTGTTTTCTTGCTAAAGCCATGCTAGTCAACGGCAAATTTCCAAGTCAAAAGAGTACTTTATTGAGCATCTGTTATTTACAAATTTCGGGTATACATTTACTTTTCAAGTAGGAGGTTTTGTCTTTTACCATTATCAATTCTTTCAATTTCTTTTTATTGTTTTCATTTCAGTTTTGGGGGGTGGATGGGAAAGAATGAATCTAAGTAGGCACAAAATTTTGTTTATTTCACAGATCAAGCAATCCTCATTTCTTCTAACTTCCAAGGCTTCTAGTAGAAAAGATACCATGTATGACATTATTAAGTTCAAAATGTAATAAAAAAGGGTGTCTTTGTCTTACCAATAAGAGCTGCTTTCAAGTGCTTCCTCCTGGATTTCGAGTTGAATCCTTCAAAGAACACTGCAACAATTTTTAGGTAATGCTATAATACGTTTTGTGCTTTGAAAAAATAACTATAGAACTTTTAAACAGTACCTGTGCCGCATTGAAATTTTTGTAAATAAGGGTTGATATATATATCTTCAGGCTCTGTCCCGCATGTGGTACAACGAAATGTTGCCATATTTTCACCGGACTCCAATTCTAGATATGTTATTATGTACTGGCAAGGATAAATGGCCTGGACATCATCTCTTCCCAGAGTCCAAGCCAAAACAACCGGAACTGAATGCATGGATTGTGAATATGTCACCGGCGATAAGCTTTGGTCGACCAAAAACACAGAAGAGCAGCTACTGGTTCCATTAATTCTGCTTCTGATCGTCCCACGATTGAATCTTGAAGCTGTAAAATTTAGATGGTATTTGGGAAGATAGAAGGGAATGGCTGTTTCACAACAATTGTAGCAAGTACTGTTAATGTTGATTGGTTGAGGAGGGGTGTCCGATTTACAGATCGAAGTACAACCCGATAAAATCTTGTTATTGTTTTGATTAAGTAGGACAGCAGTTCCACATCCAAAAAGCACCAATTTGTTGTATGTTTTGGAGTAAAAGAAAGGGGTGCCCGCAAGATCAGAGCTATTCGATCTCCAGCCGCTGATAGCGCCAGTCTGGGCTCCGGAGATGCAGGATGGAGCTGTTATTGGCGTGTTTACAGTTACTGTTAGGTTGCGCAACGACACTTTCAGCACCTCCAGGTTGAGGCTGCTCAGATATGGCTTGGAAGAAGCGCAGATTATGGTGTATGATTCGTTGAGGGAGCAACCAGGACCAATTCCAAATGGATAGGGGATGCGAACACTGCCACAAGTGTCACTGCATCCAAGCTTAGCTAATAATCCTACTGTTGGGCATATTCCAAAGGTGATGATCCATGATAGCAAATATAGGAGGGAAAAGGGCAGATATTTGGAAGTCATTATTGTTTTGTGATGCATAATTTAGAAGCAGATGGTTTAGAGATGAATGGAGGATTTGCTTATGTATAGAAAGGAAAAGAGTGTCCTGTTGATGTTCTTGTTGAGCGTTGACGACTTTAATGCAATTTGCCCCGGTCAATAGTCAATACACCTTATTTGTTTTGAAGTCATTATCTTTATGAAATATTGGTTCCCATCCTGGTTTTGGAGTATAGACTTTAGACATCCCATGTGCAAGTGTTTCACATTTAGCATCGGATGCAAATTCTGAAAAGGTAAAAAGGGAAAAAATATTTGTGCATCTCAAAGATGGATTTTAATGTGGAGTATTGCAATATGAATGAATAAAAAAAGGGTATAAATCAATCGAATTATTGTGTGCAACTTAAAACTAAATCGTAGAGCAACTGCTATGGAATGAGTCAAATTTGTGGAAAACAAATGTTCTTTTATTGGTTTGTTGAAGTTGCATGAACCATGTCCAGTATTACAGTTAAAATCAAGTTCCTCCTCCTCAATGCTCCTTTCTTTCTTTCTTTCTTTTTTTTTCCCCATATTTTTCCACCAGAAGACTCAGTAAATTGTAGCCAACTATAACTAGACCTGGCAATTATACCCAAAACCCAACAACCCACCCAACCCACACACTAATTTGAGAGGTTGGGTTGGGTAAGTTGGGTATTGGGTCAATTTTGGGTTGGGTAATAAAAACCCACATATATTTTGGGCGGTTTGGATATTTGTATTGGACACTCATTACCTAACTTTTGCTAATTGAATCAAGTGAATAATCAACACAATCTTAAAAAGGTGAATAGTTACTCAAAAGCATCAACTATAGACTTTTTTAATTATTTTTTGCTATAAACATCTTTTGTGCTTATAACATAATTCGCCAAGCAAGTTAAATTTTTTTTACTTGGCATATTTTTAATTCCTTGGTTACATACTTAATAGGGTATTACCCTAGATATGGACAAGGCCAGATGTGTTAAAATAGTTGCCAGATTTATCGTGACAAAAAAATTAATTTGCATTTATGAGTTAGATATTTAGCTACAATGTGACTTTTTTTCATTTATATTATCGTCACCAAAATGTTCAGTAAGAAGAATTTGAATATTATTAAATTCGAAATTAATTTTGAGACATTAATGTTAACTTACAACTACTCATGTCCTCGGTGCTTAATAACTACCACATAACTCATTCATGCTAAAAGATTTTTGTTTTTGTAAACCGTATTCTCAATATGTAAAAACTACATAAATCCAAAATTACCATACTTTCTTTGTGAAAATATTAGCATAAAATCTTTTTTTAGGTAGTTTGGGTATTTGTATTGGACACCCACTTCAATTTTTTTTTTTTTTTGTATGTGAAAATATATTTGAAAGAGTTTATATATCAAAATCTATTAATTAATATATTGGGTCATAATTGGGTCATGGATTTGAAATGACCCAATATGACCCAATCCAAAATTAACCCAATCTAAAGTTGGGCGGGTTGGATATAACCCATTTAAATGAAAACTCAATATTAACCAGCCCAAAACTCACCCAACCTGTTCAATTGTCAGGTATAACTATAACTATTGAAAATGAAGCCATCCTAAGCAACTGTTGACGCCAAACCTAAACATGTATATATCAAACTTTAGTGACACTAATGTTATGAATGGGAAATATGTGGAAAGATGTAAAACTGATCAAGGACCAAGATTTGATGTATAATCAAAATGTGTTTGTATCTGGCTAGGCCGCTGAACTTAAGGTGATGCAATTGGTTCCTGTACTTGTCCACGAAGGATAATTATCAGAAAATGCAACTGATTTAGAGCCTTCCTTCTTGAATCCTTGGCTTTCATAATTTGCTTGATTAGTTGACTGATTTGCTGACATTTTGATGCTGTCTAACTCAGTGGCTACTTCCTTCATAGTGGGCCTTTTCTTCCCATTCAAGTTAAGGCATCTTTGAGCAAGTTTAGCAACAGCAACAACTTCTTCTTCAGTCCTCTGATCTTGAAGTTCAGGATCGAGAATGCTGTTGAGACGATTTTCATCCATTGTTATCAAAAACCTTGTTGCCAAGCTCAAGTGACTATCTTCTTCTAATTCTGATGATACCGGCTTTTTTCTTGTCAAGAGTTCGACCAGAACAACCCCAAAGCTGTAAACATCACTTTTCTCCGTAAACTGGCTTGATTGAAAGTACGCGGGATCCAAATAGCCAAAAGTCCCTTTCACCATAGTAGTAAAGTGAGTTTTATCAATCGAAACAGACCTCGAAGTTCCAAAATCAGACACTTTGGCTACGTACTTTTCGTCCAAGAGTATGTTGCTGGACTTGATATCCCTGTGATAAATAGGAACAGAAGTGGCGGAGTGTAGATAAGCCAATGCCCCTGCTACTTCTGCTGCCATTCTTAATCTCAAGCTCCAAGTGAAGGGGAACTCATCATCATTCTCATTGTGAATGAGTCTGAAGAGGGTTCCATTCGGGATTAATTCATACACCAGTATAGGAACTTCTGTCTCCAAACAACAACCTAGTAATTTCACCACATTCCTATGATTGACTTGTGACAGAATGACAACCTCGTTAATAAATTCCCCCAGTTGGCTTTCATCAACCTTCTTAGACTTCTTTATTGCTGCAAGATTTCCATCTGCTAGCATCCCTTTGTAGACTGTACCTTGCCCTCCTCGACCGAGCACTCGATTTTCATTGAAGTGATCAGTGGCCTTGTCCAAGTCTTTAGCAGTGAAAATCCTTGTTTTGTTGATAACCCTATCATCAGCAGATAGCTGCTGCTGTAATAAAAGTCCACCATTTCTTTTGAAAAATTTTTCTTTGATCATTTTGTCCCTCCTCCTTTTTACTAGTTTGTACGAGGTAAAACTGATAGCTATGAAAATTAAGACGCCTACGCCAGCGAAAACACCTGCAAAAGTCCAGCATGGTGCCATAATAAAAACATTCAACTATATAATTGACTGGCTAAGACTTGTAGAATATCAAGAAGCAGATCTAATGTACACTCTTTTAGAAATGAAAATGTATACAAATAGAAGAGTGTGCAAAGAACATGGATAAATTTTTACAAACAAGGGTGTTAGTTTTGGAAAATTTATGGATGGGGTATATGGTTAGTTTTCACAAATTAAAATACTAAAAAATTTATGACTAAATCATCCTTACAAAACTATGCTCGGTATACATGCACATTCATGAAAAAAAAAAAGTACAGATTAGTGATATAAGTATACGTCTAAAAGTTCACATAATTTTGCAAATATATCGTACATTTAATCATTGATAGTGTATACTGTCAGTGTATATAAGATTTATACTTATATTAAAACTTTTCTAAAAATATATTTGATTTCTCGAAATTAATTAAAGTTAAAGAAAATTAAAACAGAGGTTGGGAGAGAGCTGAAGAAAAACAGGAACCACCGACAAATACTTTAAAATTGTGAACTCGGATGCGCCACGCAAGATGAGTAAGGGACAAACAAGAAAAACACAATTGTCAAAAAAGCATTTTCTTGAGAGCCTCCATAGTTGACAATTTGACATCTTTTCCACATATATTGTCAATTTAGTTTGACGGTCAATTTTTCTTCATTTATGGGTTCCACTTTGCAGTGGGACTGCTTTGACTTTTACCCGTACCATCCACGATCCTTGTTTTCATTTTCTTTTAATTTCTTTCCTTTTTTTGGTTTTTGTTTTCCAAGGGAAGAAATGAACCAAAGTGGGTACAAAAACCATTTAATTTACCAACAAATGTAATTCATTATCCTCATTTGTTCTGACTTCTAAGAATTGTAGCAGAAAAGATAACCATATTTTGTCATTATGAAGTAGAGAAAGTAATCAAAAGGGAGTTTTTATGTTTTTTATTGGGGGGGTGGGGATTGGGGGTCTTAGTCTTACCAATAAGAGCCGCTTTCAAGTTTCTCCTCCCCGGGTCCACAATGAATCCTTCCAAGAACAAACCAAAAAGTGTTAAACACATTTGCTAATCTCATGCAATCGCAAATTTGTACAATAATATAACAACTACTGTCAAATTTTGTTTGCTAAAACCGTACTTGTGCGACATTGATCTTGTAGATAGGGGTTGATCTCTTGAGGGCCAGTTCTGCCGAATTCGCAGGTTGAACACATAAAATTTGCAAGATATCCACCAGACTCCAGCTCTAGATAGTCCGTCCCATACGCGCAGGGATAAATGGCCTGGACATCATTTCTTCCTAGAGTCCAAGCCAAAACAACCGGAACTGATTGCGTGGATTCCAAAAATTTCTCCGGTGACCAGTTTTGGTCTGCCAAGAACACGGAAGAGCAGTTTCCAGTTCCCCCAAGACTGAATCTTGAAGCTGTAAAGTTCAAATGGTATTTGGAAAGATAGAAGGGAATGGTTGTTTCACAACAATTGACACCATAGCAAGAACTGGTGTCAATTGCTTGTGCAGGGCTGTTGAATTCACAGGTTGAAGTACAACCTGATAAAATCTTGTCGTTTTGGTTAATCAGGACAGCATTTCCGCAGCCAAAAATCACCAAGTAGTTGTATATTTTCGAGTAGAAGAAAGGGGCGCCCCCGAGATCTGAACTATTCGATCTCCAGCTGCTGATGGCACTTGCTTGGTTTCCAGAGCTGCAAAATGGAGTTACTGTCGTGCTTACAGTTACTGTTTGGCGTCGCAACGACACGTTCAGCACCTCCAGGTTGAGATTGCTTAGATACGGCTTGGAAGAAGTGCAGATTATGGTGTATGATTCGTTCAGAGAGCAACCAGGACCTATTCCAAATGGATAGGGAATGCGAATATTCCCACAAGTATCGCTGCATCCTGGCTTGGCTAATGATCCAACTGTTGGGGATACTGGAAAGGTGATGATCCATGATAACAAAACTAGGAGGAGTGACAGGAACATGGGACTCATTCTTGAAAGCATAAGTTAGAATTAGATGGTTAGAGATGAATGGAAAAGTGACTTATAGATGCAGGGGAAAGGGGGTTTCCTCGCTATGTTTTCAGAACCGGACCAGATAGCGACTCGGCCGAGGTCAGGGGTCAGGGGTCAATGGATTCGACCGGGGGTCGATAGGGGTCGAACCGGATGACGTCATAAATAAAAATTGTTTAAAAATTAAAATATTATATATATAATATCTAATAATATGTTGATATTAATAAAGGTATATTCATATATATTTGATGTTTCAAATATATTTAACAACAAGATACAAAGAAATTAGAACAATCAAATAACAATTTATATTATTTAATAAATATTAACAAGTTTAGAATTAAAATTATGAATTAAATTCAAAAATAACATCAAATTTTAGGACAATATTTATAAAGTATCAAATATTTGAGGTATATCAATAAGTTTTAACAATTTAGGGGGTCAAAACATAATATTAAAAAGTTTGAATTTTTTTTTAAAAAAAATCACTGTTGAACCGGAAAAACCGGTTTTTCCCGGTCAAACCCGGTTTTTGACCGACTTTGACCTGGTTTTAAATTTCCGGTTTTTTAATATGACTCGGACCGGCTACCTGGCCGGTTCCCGGTTCGACTGGCCGGTCGGGTCCGAGTTTCAAAATAGAGTTTCCTCGATATTCTTGTTACTACTGCATTGAATGCGATGCAACGAGCACTGGCATGCAGTGGCAAGCAATGTTTTTAAAGTTGGACCGAAAAGTGAACCGGAGAACCTTTCGGTTCACGGTTTGATCGGTTCAATCAGTTCGACTCCGGTTCAAAGGTTTAATAAATTTTTATTTATTTTAGTATTAAAAATTTTGAATAAAACTAAAATATGTATTTTAGAAAATAAATATTTAATAAAAATCGATTGAACCTCCCGATTTTTACCAGTTTTCACTGGTTCAATCGGATCTTGATCGATTCAATTGATTTTTTGGATTTTTAATTGAATCAGACCAGAGACATAGCCAATTTGCGGTTCAACTGATCGAACCGGCCGGTCTGGTCCGATTTTCAAAACGTTGATGGCAAGTCAATGCACGGTATCAGGGGCGGAGTCAGAAAAAATTTTCAGTGGGGGCAAAAGCAATTCTAAAATTTTTTACCTAATCTTTTTTTAGTTTTTTAAGGGAAAAAAATATTCACTAACAAGTACAAATGATGTATATATTTCATGAAAAATAACAAAAAGCAAACTCAAAATTATTAATGTAATAATAATTTTATTTCAAAAACAAACTAAACTATTTACAATTGCTCATGACGAGTTTTAATATTTTGATAACGGTTTACAACTTTTTCATTTTTAACTTCACGAAGTATATTTTTCTTAATATAAGTAACTAAACAATTATTCATCCAAGTGTCTTCTATTTTATTTTGTAACCAATTCTTCACTATATTCATTATTGAAAAAACCCTTTCTACGGTAACTGTAACAACAGGTAAAATCAAAGACAACTTTAAAAGCATATAAATCAATAGATACACAACTCCAGGGAGCACACTTGAAATTACATCAAATTTTTATAAGTATTATAGAAATTTAAGGGGGGGGGGGCAGTGGGGGTCTATAAATCAATAGATACACAAAACTCCACATAGCACAGTTGAAATTATATCAAATTTTTATAGGTATCATAGGAATTTAAGGCGGGTAGTGGGGGCCCGTGCCCCCAGTGCCCCCAGTGTAAATCCGCCACTGCACGGTATTGTTTCCCAGTTGAAGATAGACATCTGTAACCAACAGAACATAGGGCCTGTTTGGATGCCAAGTTTTTTGTTGTGTTTTTAATAGACAAATTTTTTTTATAACTTTTGCTAGGTTTGTCTGCTACAAGTTTTTTAAAAACTTTAATTACAGTAAACTCAAACAACTTTTCAAAAATTTTAAACTGTACACTTCAAAATATTAAAAAAACACACACTTCAAATTTTTTTTTAAAAAACTTCTGCAGTAAATTACAGTAAAATTTTACACAAACATCCAAAAAACTCACTTGCCAAACGGGGCCTTTTTATTTATGATAACTCTCTAAAAACACTACAAAGTTTTTAATATACACACCCAAACATGTCCAAAAACACAAATCTTTTGTTTCTTTCTGTCCTTTCCTTCTTCCTCCTCCTCCAACTTAATCCCTGGCCAACACAGTGACAGATTTAAGGTGGTGTCACTAGGGGCACGGGCCCCCACTACCTCCCTTAAATTCCTATAATACCTATAAAATTTTGATATAATTTTAAGTGTGCCTCTGGATGTTTCTTATAGTACCTATAGAATTTTGATATAATTTCAAGTGTGCCTCCGGAGTTTTCTTATAAAGGAAATGAAAGAATTACGTAATTCTCTAAGTTGATTCGTGAACTAATAGTTTAAAAGGATATGTAGGTCACAAAGTTCCATTTAAAGTAAGTTAAAAAAAAGGTTTTTCATTTCAATTTGTTAGTGAATATTTTTTTTGCTTAAAAACCTAAAAAAAGAGTAGGTAAAAATTTTTAGCATTGCTTTTATCCCCACTGAGAATTATTTCTGGCTCCGCCACAAGGCCAACACCCTCTCATTTTTTTCCCTCTCCTCCTCTCTCTCTCCCCCTTCTTCTCCTTCCTCTTTCCCCTCCTTGTGAATGAGCAGGGATATTATTGAACTGATCAAAGAGCATCTGCCTAAATAGGTGAACCAAAATGTTGTAATTAATCAAATATCGTAGGGGAAATAGTCAAATTACCTTGGAGAGGTCTACATCAGTTGAGATCAGAGGTGAGGTATTTTTTTCACTAGCAACTTCCTCGATGTTTCGCTGTAATTGTTGGATGTACTCCTGGATGAATGAAAGTGACGAAAGGAAAAGAAAAGAAAAAAATAAATTTTTTCTTTGACTCTCAAATGTACAAAATATTTTTTTACAACTTCTATAGTATTCTACAGTAAAATTTATTATGAACACCCAAAAAAAACTCGTCTTTCAAACAGACTCATAGACATTTCCACACGGAGTAGCTGCCAAGTTACTTCAAATGATGTCACACGAATGGTCCAACATTGGACTTGGTAGCCATCCAAACTGAAAAGTCTTTCATGTGCATTTAAGAATTGATGCAAAATTATAGTAGGTGTTAAGGCACGGGCCGAGCCAATGGAACACTTTTGTCCATTTGAACAGAATGCCAGTTTGTTTTTTTGGCAATGTAAATCACTTTGAACACAAGATAAATTTACAATGCTTTTGGCGCAACGGATCTTCTATTTCATATCCTGTGCCACTCTCTGTCCCACTTTTTATTATATTGCTATTTCTCCTTGATAAACATCATATTTTAATTCTTTTTTGTTTTTTCTTAAGATTCAGTAACTATTAATTGAATAAAAAATAATTACAACAGCTTCAAAAAAATAATATATAATAGAAAATTTAAAAATACAGCAAAAAATTCATAAAAAATCTCATTATTTATGCATTTTGATTTTTTGAGTTTGTTAAATTTTGTGTATTACTTAATTAATAGTTATTGGATCTTCAGAAAATAAAAAAGAATTAAAACATGATGCTTATGAAGGAGAAATAGTAATATAATAAAAAGTGGGACAGAGAGTGGCATAGGATGTGGGATTAAAAATAATATACATCACTTAATCTACGCCTAACCTTTTTTTTTTTAAAGCTAATCAAGGCCATCAATTTTTGAGAACGGTTCTTAATTCAATTTTTAGATGGGACCAAAAAAATTAACATTTGGAAGATAGATTTTTGCAGCATGTCGTTATCAAACAGAAAATTTTCCAAATAGAATGAGCAAAAGTTACACAAATGAAAGGCTATAACTATCAAACAAATTAAATTGCAGTCAAGCTGGACACGTGTCATTTGAGGCAAAATTATCTTCATAGCCTCGATACTGAATCCTAGGAAAAAAGATATACACTTCTTGATTCGTGATATTATCTGAAACTATGCTGATACATATTGTACTTGCATGGATAGAATATCCTTAGCCACTGGCCATTTGGTCCAGTGGTCATCACTCTATTGAGTGATGCTGGAGGTCAGGGGTTGAACCCCTGCCTCCCACAAAAAACCTTGTCACCTTACGTGGCTGGTCTTCTGCCCCCACGGAATAGCTTGAACGGTCCGCTCCCCCTCTTTAGGGTATGGCGACCTTCCTGGTTTATCCAGGGTTCGAGTCCCGTTGTTAACGTGCTCGGAGTGGAGTGGGACCTCCTCTCCCGGGCCGCAGGGGATTAGTCGGGCCCCGTAAGAATTGACCCGGACACCCTGTGTTGACAAAAAAAAACAAAAAACAGAGAATATCCTTGGTGTTCACTTAGACGTAAGCACTTTGATGGTGCCTAGGGAAGTATACACGAATTTTCTTTCAACAATTCCACAAATTTTCTTTAAGCAAAAATTATTTTTCAACATTGAGATTCCATATCTCAACGAGTATTTTAATTACATGTTGTCAAACGAAATCGCTCACTTGACTTTCAATATTCCTACAAGTAGTGGAAAAATACCAGAGGTAGGTAGGAAGTAATTTCGCACTCAAGATATATCTACTTCAATCAATTTAAGTGTTTTAGGACATTTGACCTTGTCAAATAAAATTAGCCGCTAGACCTTCTTCCACGTTTTCATTCTTGAACGTCTAAAATTGGGAACAATTAGAGCTTTTAAATTAACTAAAGTGTTCGTGAGCTTTTAAATCAACTCGAGTTAGAGTTGTTAGTTTAATTAAGTGAATCGAGTTCGAACATTAAATTAGGCTTATTTTTAAGATTAGTTTTGCTTTACTCTCAAACAATTTGTTTAAGTTCATTTAGCCACATTTATACATTTATTCAAGCTAGTATGTTTAATATTTATTAATAATTATGTAGATTTAGCATGTCTTGATTGTCTAGGATTTGTTTTTCCAAAAAAATTGGGGACCTTCTTATATTTGGTAAAAATTTCTCATTATATAGGCTAATTAATTGGTTAATTTTTTGAGTGAACTATTGCAAAAGATATTCAAGCACATTTGAGCATTTTCAAACTCGAGCTTGATTCATTTGTATCATTCAAGTCGAGCACAAGTTCAAGTTCGAAATCAAAATTTTTCTTTACGCGCTGAGTTCAAATACGACTTTTGACTTGTTAAATAAATGAGCCGAACTCGAGCTCAGTCAGTAACGTAACAAGCTAAGTTCGGTCAAAAACTCGGCTTAATTTCAAAAGTGGATTCAACTATTTAGGTAAACTTCCCAAGTCCTAGTTGCATTGAACAAGATTCTGATCTGTTTTCCGATGCAAATAATACACGGACAGCTGATAGTTGTAGGTTAACTTTAGCTTCAGATGACTCACATTACTGTTTAATACAGTCTGATGTGCATGTGCTATATATTCTAATTGCTGTGCATAGCTGGTGCACCCTTTGTTGAGTGATTATTTGCCATGTAATTCCTTAGGAGCATGAAGTTGGGATAGTATATAACAACTTGCAATGTATACATGCTTAGATTGGAATAGAAGAAAAAAAAAATTGAACATCTTACCCACTTCTACGTTAATTACAGGAGTCAAAGTGTGGGGTGATAATAAAAGTCAAAGTTCTTGCTCACACATCATCTTCAATAAAAGAAATATTACCTTATTGAGGACCAAGATTAAAATAAAATAACAGCAATATGTATACTTTGTGATTCTAGTTCAAGAGTAGATTGCATGAAGAGAAATTACTTTCACCCCAAAAGTTGTTCTTTAACGATATATTTCGTATGTCTAATTCTTTGTGGAGATGATAACACGTAAATTTGATTGTTTGTTTTTAGCCTAGTGGAGTTTTATTTAAGAGTTATCAATGACACCAAGAGACCATAAAAATGGTAGCACTAGATCAAATATAGTAAGAATGAAAATACTAAAATCTTGTTTTTGGGTACCTTAATAAATGAGAACTCCATTGAAGTGGACGTAGTAGATAGGGGTGGCAATGGGACGGGTGATCGGCAGGCACCCGCCCCACGGGGGACTATTGGGGCGGGGACGAATTTTTTACCCCGCCCCATTGCCTATTAATTACCCCCGTCTCCCGCCCCGCCCCGCTTACCCTGCAGGGTTCAACCTCAGCCATTTCGCCATTAGCTTGTTGCAGCAAATTTAACTCAGCCATTTATTAGGATTGTAAACTCAATGACGAGTTGAATTAGTGGAATTAATTGCGTCAGGTTTAACAACAATAAAACAAAGTAGCACGATGGCTATAAACCAGAAAGCACAAAAGACCAAGTCATATAAAGGAAATTGGAGGATGGATGGGATGGATGCTACGGAGAGGGATTGTAAGTGAGAGATTCCTAATTGGAGTTCTCCTCTCATTTACATTAATATATATATATATATATATATATATATATATATATATATAAGGAAATTGGATCACAAAATTCAAAATTGAAGACTCCAATCACAGGGTCCTAATTACAATTCTACTCACTGGTAGGACTTATGCAAAGAAGAAACTTCCCAGCAGGACAAAACTTCCGCGATCCTAGGGAGTAACAGTATATCAAAGTCAGTCTAGATATTTTTACAAAGTAGACTTCTTCAACCGACAAAGTAGACTTCGTCAACCATGCTCTGTTGAAATGTCAAAGTTAGTCTGGATATTTTAACAAAGTAGACTTGTTAACTGTTAAGCCAAACTAACCAGCTTAACAATATTTTACACATTACCAGCTTAAGATAAACTTACACTGCACATACAACTATGAGTGATCTAAGGTTATACTCTCTGCTACTTTTGTTTGTTTCAATCATTGTTCCGTCAGCAGCAGCAGAAGCACGTTTTCCTATGGTGAAGCCTGGATGCCGCGAGACCTGTCCAGGCAATAATGTATTAATTCCATACCCATTTGGAATTGGTCGTGATTGTGCTATCAATGAAACATATGTTGTAACTTGTAACCATTCATCAAACACCACTTCTTCGAAGCCATATCTGAGCAAACTCAACCTGGAGGTGCTGAATGTGTCACTGAGCTCCCAAACCATAACTGTCCGGACTCCAGTGCCTCAAACTTGTGCAGGTCAAGCTAATAATACCCGCTGGAATAGCTCTGACCTCTCTGGAAGTCCTTTCTTTTACTCTAAAGATGACAATAAACTGATGCTTTTTGGATGTGGTAATGCTCTTCTCAATCAGGATCATGACCATCAGGTGTTGTCAGAATGCACGTCCACGTGCAATATAAGCAGAAGCATAACTGGTTGCTATGGCATCAATTGTTGTACAACAAGCATTCCGTTCTATATTAATAAATACATATTGAACTACGCAATCACAGAGTTTAACAATTCATGTGCTTCTGCCTTCTTGGCAGACCAAAGGTGGACGCCGAAGAGATTTTCAGACCTTTTCATCCAAAGATCCTTGGAATCTGTTCCTGTTGTGTTGTCGTGGACCCTCCAACGTAGTGACATCCGTGCTATCCCAGGTTGCTCTCAGTCAAATCGCCCACTCGAACTAGAATCCGGCAAGATTTACAGTCAGCAGTGTGAGTGTGAAACGTACGGAACAGATACTTTTGCCATCGGAATCAACCCGTATTTAGATGATGAATGTTATTATGGTGAGTTATATAGAGAATATTTTGACTAGCATTTGGATTCATTCCAATCCAACAGGTCATCTTTAGGCTCTTCATCTGACTTTCTTTTTGTGATTACAACTGTTTCTTCTAGAGGACTTTGCTGGGTTCGTGGAAGGAAAGAAGAACAAGACAGCTGCTATTGTTGGTAAGCCACTCTTCCATACCATTTTTCCTTTAGAATCATGGGATCGAGTGCAATCCTGACAAAAAAATTAAAGCACATATGGGCAGTTCCACCAGTAAAATACTAACTAGTTGACCCTGATACAGTATCTATATGCCAATATAATAAGTTTTTGCCTTGATTGCAATGTAAAAATAACACGAGGTTTTTGATGTTTGGTAGTGAAAATTTCATTTTTGCTTTAGGCAAATGTCTCTATGATTAAGTAGCATAATATTATATATCTACAGTACAAGTGACACTGGGCTAAGTATAGTTCCTTTATGCAAAATCAGAACCCGAAATGCCAAAATTGAACCCTGTGAATGACAAGTTTACACTCAGAATTAACCACAATTGCTTTCCAATCAGCTTCCTCAGCCATCAATGAGGCTTGCCGTATTGCCTCTGCTTCATCCATCTGAGCTTCATCCTTTCTCTGTTCCTGTAACGCCCAAGCTATGATGATTCATCCTGTTCCGTTCCTGGCCATTATTCCATTCCCTGTTCTTATCATCTGTTTAGGGAGCAGCTGACCTGTTCTGATTTAAATTTAATAATATCTGCAGCTGGAGGTTCCCTTTGATTCTTGTTCTGAGTCTGAATTGCTTCACCAAAGCTCTCATTCGTGATTCAGATTCAGGTTCTTTGAGTTCTAACTATTCCGTCTGTACATTCTATTCAAGGTGCCTTTCCTCTTTGTCAATTCCATTGGATTGAAACTTGTTTAGATTGATTACGTAAAAGCATAAGATCAAACGATATCTACCGTTGGATTGTGGTGGGTTCCAATACCAAATTAATGGATTAAATCCACTAATAAAGGAGACAAATAAACAATTTTATTACACTCAAAGTGTATACAATAACGACACTTAAAAAATAAATTTATACTAAACACTATTATTAAATTGAGTGTCACTCTTGAGAATATCTACTCTAATATCGGAGTCTTACTCTTAAAATATCTATTCAAGCACTCATATAACAACTCAACTTGTTTATTTACTATCATTATCTCTTGATCTCTGGTGCACTTCAACTGAGGAAATGAACTGCTATTTATAAGTAAGGTGCTCGATATGCAGCACCAATTTTCCTTGTCACATTAAATTCTAGCTTCCTGAAAATCCAATAAAATCTTATGCCAGACGGCTTCACATCTTCAGCAGTCAAAATCTCCCACATTCATACAGTGAAAATAGACTTTGGCAATTTGTCCATTTTCTTTGTCAGACATACTACTATGTTTTGTAATGTCTATTGTCTTGACAAACCAACGACTTCACTATTTCATAAATGCAAACATTATTATATCAGTAAAGTGAATTCAACAATCACATCTCATCATAAATCATCAAGATAAAGTCAATGTTGCACTTATTTTAACACCCCCCTCAACATTGGCTTTCCTTGTAGTCATGCCGAGCATTTCTCAAAATTTCACGAAAGGACTCAAACTCTTTAGGAATATTTTTGCAACTTGATTAATTGCGTTGACATACTTCAGGTCAATTTTTCCTTGCAACACCTTCTCTAAAACAAAGTGATAGTGAATTCAACATGCTTTGTCCTTGCATAGACTACTGGATTTTCAGTCATGCGAATAGCTGACTAGTTGTCACAATATAATTGAATCGGACAATCAATTGGCTGGTGCAAGTCCTTTATAAGTTGCACTAACCACATGCTTTCCTGTGCTATTAAAGCTACTACTCTATACTCTACTTCTATACTGGATAATGACATTTTTTGGTTATCACTTACTACACTAAGAAATTGCTGCTGATCCAAGATTGACCATATGACTGTGGTTGACCTCCTTGTTATCACCGGCTTAGTCTACATCACAATATCTGGTTCCTTTGCAAGTTTCTCCTTCCTTGGACAATAGACCATAGTCAATGGTCCCTTTAATGTATCTCAAAATTCGATGCACAGCTTCCAAGTTTGTCTTCTTTAGATTTTGCATGAATCTACTCACCACCCTAATTGACTATGATATGTCAAGTCTAGTCAAAGTGAAATAGATTAAACTATCTAGCAAACCTGTACATGGTAGCATCGTCAAGGTCTTTTAATTACTCTTCTCAGATGAACAAACATTGGTTATTTCTTTGGCTTTCTCTTGATGTGCTTCTAGTTTGTTGTTTTTAGGTTGATCATTAGATCTCTCCTGCAGCTTTTCTTCTAACTCCTGTGAGTCTGGGATGACCACTAAGATGATGCCACATCGAATACCACATTTTGTGAGACTTAGCATTTTTCAGTCATGGGGTCACACTTTTAGCCTTTTCGTTAATTATTATAGCCTACAAATATACAACAAATGGCCTTCTTATTGAACTTGTTTGAAGATCATCTAGCACAAAAATGTAACAAACACACCCAAATACTCTAAAGTGAGTAACATTAGGTTTAACAGTCCACAGTTTCTCAATTGAAGAAATAAAGCCTAAGTTAGGCTGAGATAGTATATTAGTCACATGAACTATCTTTTTCATGCACTCGACCCAAATATGCGGAGGTACATTTTTGGCATGTAACATGCTCCTACAGATCTCTACAAGATGTCTATTTTTTTTGCTCAGTTACTCTATTTTGCTGAGGCGTACCAAGACAAGTCAGCTGCCACCTTATTTTGCAATCCTATAAGAATTTGGTAATTAAAGTCATCTAATTTGTATTCATCTCCGTTGTCTGTGCGTAGGCATCTTATCTTCCAGTCTAATTCTTTCTCAACCTTTTCCTTGAGCTCTTTGAACTTATTTAAAGCTTCTAACCATAGTTATTAAACCCAACCCTGAAAGGAACCCGGTGAATGAGGTGGGTCAACGGGTTACTGGTTCAACCAGTGGGTAAGTGATTAAACCGGTGGGTCACTAAATATATTTAAATATTATATCTCATAATTTTTTATATAAGATATATGATATAAATTTTAATAAATAATGCCATAGCAAATGCTTATTTAATTTAATTTACTATAAAATAATTAATTCATATAAGAATTAATAAAACATAAAGTCATTTAGTAATACACCATACTTCAAATGTAAAATTTTATCTATGTTTAGTGTAATTATCTAACTTATTTATGAATTTTAAGTACAAAAAATTATTAAAAATAATATTTGTCTTTAAAATAAATTATGTAATATGTTATTTTTGAAATCCATTTTATAACTTATAGAGTTTGGGGGTTATAAATTTTTATTAAAAGATTCCAAATAAATTTGTTTTAGAGAAATTAAAAAAAAAGATAGAATTAACAAAACATTGATATATTATAAGTAAGCTACTTTATCAACGTATGGTGAAGTTATATTTATTAAACCCGGCCTGGCCTGACGGTTCAACCGGTCAACCCTGTGAACCGGCCATGAAACCGGGCCGAGTTCTTAATAAGATTGTTTCTGCATTGAACCCGTTGACTTTTCAACGGACCGGCGGTTGAATCGGACAACTTGGTTGAACCGGCCGGTTTTATAAAGAACCCGGTCTACGGAAAAATTTTGTAAACATTGCTAGAATGGAGATTCGAATGCGTGACCTCATGCAAAGAAGTAGACTACCATTACCGCTAGACCAGCCAACCATTTGTTATTTATTTTGTTCTTATACTATATATTAGAGTCTTATTCTTATTTTATTTCTCCAAAACAAAATTTATTTGGAATCTTTTAATAATATTTTATTTTTCCCTGAACTCTATAAATTATGAAATTGACTTAAAAATAACATATTACACAAATTATTTTAAAGGCAAATATTATTCTTAATAAACTTTTGCACTTAAAATTCATAAATAAACTAGATAATTACACTTAGATAAAATTTTATACTTGAAATTTGGTGGATTACTAATTAAATTTAGGTTGTTAATTCTTATAAAAATTAAGGAATCTATAATAAATTAAACTAACTGAATATTTATTATGGTATAAAAAATTATAAAACATAATATTTAAATATACGTAGTGACCCACCGGTTGGACCACTCACCCATCGGTTGAACCAGTAACCCGTTGACCCATCTCTTTTACCGGGTTCCTCCTCGGGCCTGGTTTAATAACTATAGGTGAAGTAGCCTGGTGGTGAGCGCGTTATTGCTTGGTCAGAGGTCCAAGATTCGAATTCTGGCAAAGTAATAAATTTTTTCTACAAAACCCGGTTCTTGGACAAAACCAGCCGGGTTTTCAATTTAATCCAGTCGAACCGTTGGTCCGTTGACTAGTCAATGGTTTGATTGCGCAAACAATCTAATTTAAAACCTAGCCCGATCCAATGACTGGTTCATCGGTTTGACCGGTTCGACCATCGGGCCGAGTCGAGTTTAATAACTATGCTTCTAACTCTTCCTTCATAAAGTCAACCCAAATACATCTAGAAACATCATCAATAAAGGTAATCATATACCTCATGTCACTGATCGATAGTTCCTTCACTCATCCAAACACGTTCAAGTGAATTAATTCTGAAGGCATCTTGGCTCTGAATTTTGACTCTTCATATGGAAATTGATGAGTCTTTCCATAATGGCTACCTGCATAAACAATATCTTCTCGAACATCTAACTGAGGAAGCCCTCTAAACATCTATTTTATCATCATGATCTTCAAATTGTGGTAACTAACATGCCCTAGTCTGGCATGCCACTGATTATCTATCTCATTCTCTCTAGTCTTATTAACACAGGTTTCTTGAACTGACATCATGTGCACTGACCTCAGTCATGTCTCTTGTATCGTTAGTGCACCTATAACACCTTGACATCATCAAGTCCGAACAACACGTAGTTGCCAGACACTTTCAATTGAGAAATCGATAGTAAATTCTTCTTCATTCCAAATACGTGGTAGATGTTTAGCAACTTCACCTACTGAGAGCTGTATCAAGGTAGTATCACCATATTACCAATATGAGTAATTGGTAACCTGGAATTATTAGCTGTCACCACCACTCAACTATTTTTGTACTCTATCAAATCTTTTAGCTTTTCTTTGTGTCCAGTCATATGATTAGAACAAGTAGAGTCAATAATCTAATCGTCAATATAGTTGATAGGTTAAGTACTCACCACTGTAAGATCGAGCTCTTCTTGTAATTTAGTAGTGCAGTAAAATATGAACTCTTCTATTGCAAAGGATATCTAGATATCCCAATCTTCGTCATCCTCATTCACCTTTTTGGAGGTTTTAGTAGCATTACCTTTTACTGGTGGGAATCTACAAAATTTTGCATGATGCTTTTTTTACCATAGTTGTAGCAGTCATCATTTTGCTATTTTTGGTTGCCTTGCAACCATTGATGTCTTCTACTTTGGTCATTTTCTCCTTGACTTTGGCTAGCTCCCTCTTGATTGTTGCTCTTCCACTTCTTCTGTTGCCATGGCCCTGCTTGCCACTTGAGTTATTCTAATTATTCACTAGTCTGCTATCTTCGGCTTGAGATCCTTCCTTTCTAGTAAAGAGAGTTTTTTCTTCTTCTTTAATAGATACTTTAGACATAGAGCTATCTAAAACTTCCTCGTTGACAAGTAAATTTTCCAACTCATTTAAGGTTGGCTCCTTGGCCAACCACAGGTAGCAGTAATAAGACTCTTGTATTCTAGTTTTAAACTATGAACAATAATTCTCCACATTCTGGTCTCCATGATTGCATTCTGGGAATTTAATTTGGATATTTCATCACAAATTAATTTCATCTTGGAGAAATATTGAGTTATTGTCATGTTTTGCTGAGAAATAGACAATAATTCATTTTCAAACTTTTGGAGTTTCGCATCATTGGTCATTGGTCTTTGCAAAAAGTGTCATGAGTGTGTTCCATGCTTACTTTGGTGTCATGACGTGCTTGATTCCCTGTAGTAAATCATCTTTTACCGCCAATGTCAAAGCATACATAGTTTTGTCATCTATTGTTAACAAGCCAACGACTTCACTATTCCATGGATGCAAACATTCTTATATCATTAAAGCGAATTCAACAATCACGTCTCATCATAAATGATCAAGATAAAGTCAACGTGCACTTATTTTATCATCTACCACTCTACAATCTGCTTCCATGTTCTATATTTTGCAAATTGTCATTCACTTCCCTTGTTATCTGGAAACTCTTTGTGGGAACCTCCCTTTCTGTCCATTACCTTTCTGATCAAGTCAAATCTTGCTAATATCAGTCAAAGTTAAAGCAAATATGACAAGTCCAAGATTGAATCCTTCCTCGCTATTCTCCACATTTATCCACGGTTCTTACAGCTCCCTTTCGCTTTCCACGAATCAGGCGAAAAAATCATAAACTTGCCTTCTTGAAATACAGTTCTCCAAATAACTACCACTTCAATGTGATGCCAACCAGTCTCCAGACAGCCTTCCAACACCAAAAGCTTCCAACCAGCCACGGGCAAAGAATTTTACCAAGAACGTAAAGAACCACAGATACACATTACACAGGAAAGCCACATTAATGCCTAGAAAAGTTAGACATGTAAAAAAAAATTTCATCTTCCTCACCCCAAAATGAACCATGGATTATTTACTTTATCGCCCAGCCAAAACCGTCAACCTCAAAAACTTCAACTAACAACTCATTTTGAAATTGAATCTTTGAGTGTATTGTAAGTGTTAACTGTAATATGCACCGTGCTTGTACAACAACAGTCTCGACTCTAAAAGTTTACAGCCACCGAAATATGGTTTTGTACAGGTTCTTCTGCAGGTGTTGGTGTAGTATTTCTCATGATAGCTGCTTATGCCTCGTACAAAATAGTAAAAAAGAGGCGCAACAAAAAGCGCCAAGAGAAATTTTTTAAACGAAATGGAGGTCTTTTGTTGCAACAACAATTATCTGCTGATGAAGGTGCGGTTGAGAAAACAATGCTATTCTCTGCTAAAGAATTGAACAAGGCCAGTGATGGATTCAACAAAAATCGCATACTAGGTCAAGGAGGTCAAGGTACAGTTTACAAAGGGATGCTAACAGATGGCAGAATTGTAGCAATCAAGAAGTCAAAAAAGGTTGATGAAAACCAATTGGAACAATTCATCAACGAGGTTGTCATTCTTTCACAAATCAATCATAGGAATGTGGTAAAGCTTCTAGGTTGTTGTCTGGAGACAGAAGTCCCACTACTAGTTTATGAATTTATCCCCAATGGAACCCTCTTTACCCTTATACATACTGGGAATAATGAGGAGCTTCCCTTGACTTGGAATTTGAGACTAAGAATAGCCACCGAGGTAGCAGGAGCATTGGCATATCTGCACTCAGCAGTTTCAATTCCAATCTTCCACAGAGATATCAAATCCAGCAATATACTTTTGGATGAAAAATACGTAGCAAAAGTATCTGACTTTGGAACTTCGAGGTCTGTGGCAATTGACAAAACTCACTTAACTACTGTAGTTAAAGGGACTTTTGGCTATTTGGATCCAGAATATTTCCAGTCAAGCCAATTTACAGAGAAAAGTGATGTCTACAGTTTTGGGGTGGTCCTTGCTGAGCTTTTGACAAGACAAAAGCCAATATCCTCAGCAGCAACAGATGAAACTTGTAACTTGAGTTTGGCCACAAGGTTCCTGATATCCATGGAAGAGGATTCTCTCGAAAATATTCTTGATCCTCAACTGGTAAATGAAGAGAATGAACAGGAGGTTACAGCAGTTGCTAAACTTGCACAACGATGCTTAAATTTAAATGGGAAGAAAAGGCCAACTATGAAGGAAGTTGTCATTGGATTGGAAAGCCTTAAACTATCATCAGTGCATTCAACTACTCCAGGAAATTTTCAAAGTCCAAGTTGCACTGAGGGAGAATCTTTTGTGTTTTTCAATAACAATTATACATGGACAACTGAAGGTGATAGCTTTAGATCAGCTTCAGATGTCCATCCACTACTGAATAAGCACTAGTTTAGTATTCTGTTTAGTGGTTAGAGTTGTATATTTATTTCGCAGATATGCTCATACTTGTCATGTCATGTCCTGGACATCCTTAAATTTGTTATGGTAACAAATAAGGAGTTTTATTTTTCCAAAATACCTTTGATTATAAAAAAAAATTTCAGACTAACCTAATTCTTCAATGCTTCTTTCTAACTGGCCATCATGCCCATCACTGGGAAGATCACCTATGGAACTTTTGCTTACTTCAGCTTTTAAGTTTAGCTATATTCTTTCAGCTTCATTTAGAACACTATTTTCATTAATAATGTCATAATTCAGCATCATAAGTCGAGGGCTACTCTATCCATGTTTACTGCAGTTGAAAGGCCTAAAAAGAATATAAAACAGCAATATTGCACAAAGTTCGAACCCCATTCTCAATTAGCATTCCATCATAAATATGGGCACGAAATTACACATTCGACTTCCATAAGACTTCTTCATAGACCCTGCACTTTTATATCAGTATAGTGAAGTGTTCCAAAAAAAAATTTTTCTTGATTGCTTCTGAGTGTTAAACTGACTAAACATTATTCCTCATTACATATATTTGTCCAAGATTGTTTATCGTCTACCACCGTAGGTTCTTTTTAAGTTTTTGACTCACCAGCGAAAAATGTCAAAGCGTAAAACACAATAAAGAAGCTGCGAACCTATCAATGGTGAATCCTCTCTCCCCCAAGCCGAACTAGATGAATATGTCAGTGTTGCCCACAATGCTGCAGGTGCCGTGGAGGAAATCATCGGAAAAGAATGGTGGGTGTCGAGTTACAGAGGCCAAAATCAGAGCAAAGGAAGCCGTGTTTTCAATTATCTTAAAGAAGTTCCCTTCTCATACAGTATTGGAGAGGAAACGAAGTGGTGCAATCTTCAGGCCATGACAGAAGGGGCGGCTGCACCTGATTTTGTTCCTGTTGACGGCACTGAGGCCTTTTCCTGCAATTACCGGGATGCATTTGGGACTTTAATTGCATTGCTTCCCAAGGAAAAACCCATTTTAGGCTGCATTATTCAGCCATCCAAGAGAACCTGAAGGTTTGGAGACTTGGATTAAACAGGGAGAAGAACAATTGAGAGGGAATACGGCAAAGCAGTTTCCCTGGATTCTTGCGAAGAAGAGTTGGATTCATGTTGCAAAAAGTTGAATGAAGCATATGCTGTGATCAAAAGCCTGAATTACAATGTTACAATTTGATGCTGAAAAGGTGAATGGTAGGGTTGGGTCCTTTTTTTCATGACGGGAGCTGTATTGCATATGGTTTGGTGGCACCAGGTTCATTGGATGTGCTGATCGTTGTGCATTGGATCCTTCATATGGCTCCTGCCTCTTGTGGAGGGCGTAAGAGAGATTATTACGGATTGGGATGGACATGAGATCTGTTGGGATCTCTGAAATCCAGGGTGGGTCCAGAAAGGAGATTTCAAAATGGTAGCAGCAATGGAGAAAAGGATTCATGATCATGGCATTCCATTCACGAATTATCATACATTATCCATTAAGGGGCTTCGAGTTTTTTATTTTCGTTAGCACTGTACTCATTTTTTTAGCTGCCTTCCGTTGTGTTTTGTTGAATATTTTAGGAATGTAAAATGGCTTTTACAAGTACAAATTTAGGGATTCTGGTTTGATCTCAGCCCCGGGCTTGCTGTTACTTAAATCCAAGCTAATTTTGTAGAAAGAGAGGACTTTTTTTTTTCCAGTTGTAATTCAACAGGTTATCTATGATTTCTTGGTCATAATAGTAATTAGCATCTAAGTTCCGAGTCTTGAGTAATGCCTTACTAATTAGACAACATGCACTGGGTCCATATATGGCACTTTCTGTTCTTGATATAGAACTAAAAGTTCTCAAAGCAGAATGTTGCAGAAGGCTGTTGAGAAGCTTAACTTGTAGTCCAAAATAGTGAATGCCTCAGCACATAATCAGGTTCTTAGTGATTGATGCATATAATCAGCTTTCACATACAATTAGCTCCAGATTTAAGTAACCATAACAGATAATCAGGTTTTACATGCTATCTTATATCCAGTCTTCCTCAGTATTACTATTATAAGGAGCTTAAAAGGAGCTTAAAACAGTGAGTAAAGAAATCATCAGTAGCTTCTTACATGTCTTAGAGCCAGAAGAAAAGTTGGGAAACCAGCCTTCCAACTTCAATCCCTTCTCCTTTTCATCATGCTTTATACTGCAGTATCTTGCAAGCCTTCAGACAAGAATGAAGAAATTAGACCAAACTAATCTCGAAAGGGAAAGTATGTAACTGTATTATGTCTGCTATATTTCTGTTATCTGTCCCTTTATTCATACCAATGCGAACACCTCTTATATTTCTGTGCTAATCCGATTAAGCTGAACAATCAGAGTACATAAATATTGCTGCTGAAACTTAAGTATTGAAACAGCAATTTGCCTCGGCTCAGATAATGCGAATTTCATTGAGGATAATAATGTTATTCCCACCAAATTCAGAGGACAGAATTGATGGAAAACAGAGAAAGAAAATGCTGTAGAGGGAGTTACAAGAGAGAGGGAAACTTGAGGAGAATGATTCCATTTTCAAGCAAAGTGCAAACATGATTATAATTCTGACAATGCAGAAAATGATCCTAACGTTTAAGTGGTGGCTATCCTAACTAACTTCAGCTTGCAGAAGAAAATTAACTGCTAAGAAGTGAGATAATGAGGGACTGCCATCTGACGCTTCTTGGAACTAAATTACAGAAGGCGTGATAGCCAGACCAGAACATTATCCTGCTGGAATAAGAAAACGTGGTTTTGTCTTGATGATATCAGTCCATGCATTCTGTCATGTTTCTTCAAGAATTAAACTCCCTAACTTCTAATGAATGACTCACCTCGTATTTAAGCCGCCAAATCTCAATTTCTTCAGTTCAAAACTATTCTTTCAATCTGCTTCATGGCATGCATTTCTGCTAATATGTCCAGTTATTCATAATAGTGGTAAGATAATGAACTTTTTTTTAAAGAGATCCCTTTAACTGACCTCTTTAAAATGCTTCAGAATTTTTATTTTGGGCTACAGCATTTTAAAGATATCAAGTTCGAGTCCTGTACCTAGTAGTTGGGTATAGAAAGGGAGTGAGGAGAGGTGGGCATGAAAAAAAAAATTTTTTTTTTGAGATGACCCAAAAATGGCCACACTAATTCAACTTGTATACCAGTACTTGTACAAATTATTCATTTGAATTGACTGCCTGACTACTGAATCTTATGATTTGTTTAGATGATTTATTTGAAATAATTACTGTAACACTTTTTGTGATGTGATGTATGTGAAATAAAAAGGTGATTGAAAAGATAAAAAGTTGATTGAAATTTGTAAAATAATTTTTTTTTATCTAAAATCATCTCAATCCAAACAAACCCTTAGTTTATCAATAAAATGGTCAAAGCCCCTAAATATCCCTATTGGTTTTGATCCCCAGCTACAAATTTCTGCAACATTTCAGTTAGACGTTAACATATGTGCAGAGGCCACTGGCCATTTGATCCAGTGATCATCACCATTAAAGGTGATGCTGGAGGTCAGGGGTTCAATCCCTGCCTCCCACAAATTTGCCACAATTTGTGGCGGTCTTAAGTGACATTCATCGATGGAGTCTGTACTTACATCGAACCCCCTCCCCTTCCCCTTAGACTAGACTAGATTAGGTTACAGGACATCTATTGTTTCGAAAAAAAAAAAGTTAACATATGTGCAGAGGGAGTACTTTGGTATCTCACGTAGATCCGGTCTATATTCTTACACGTAGATCGAGAGGCTTACAGTTTGCCACATCCTCTCCTTAATAAGCTCCAAATCTAACAACCCACTGGGTCTCATCTCCGCCTCCTCTCCCGAATTCCTCCGCCCCCATTACCAACACCACCACACCCATCTCCGCCACCCCTCATTTGCAGACTCATGAAACTTCCAGTCTTCCCCCTATCTGTAAACACATCAACTCCTGCCAATCAAAACATCCTCCTCTCCCATGATGTCTTTCCAGTAGATCCAGAAATCAGAGGAAAGGTAGGAGTGATGGATTTTCTTCCTCTCTTCTTCTCACAAAGATTTCTACCCACATGCTTCCTCCTCCACTCCCCCAAAAAAACAAAAAAAAAAAATTTTGTCTCCTTTCTCTCTTTAAAAATTGAATGGATGAATATATGATTTTGATCCTAAGATTTGGGGTCTTTAAGAATGAATTCCAACTTCCAAACGCTTAGCTGAGAAGGCAGAATCGGTTGATAGTAACAAGGGGAAAGAAAAGAGAGAGAATTTGAATCTCTCAATATTTACTATATATTTTCAGGGCTTCTTGATTGTGTCATTGTTTCGGGACATCAATTCATCAAAATGCAGAGTGGGATTAGGAACTTGAGATGGCAAGCAGGAAATCGGAAAATCAGCCGCCGCAAAATATAGGGTCCGGTCCGTCCGGAAATTGGTTTTTCGATTGAGTTTTGAATATTTAATTCATGTCCATGATGTGATAGATTATCGTCCGTTCGATCTATAGGTGGGCCCGTACATCGAAGCTACCCAAGTTTTTGTCCATTTGGATTAGTGTCAAACATTTAATACAATATCCCACTTCAAAAGAGTATTTCAATGGTGAATCAAAAATACATCTGAGCCCCTCATTAGTTTGACTATTGTATAATAAATAATCCTAACAGTTTTACAGTTGCTGATTATATAAACTCTATAATCCTAAAAGATGTCATCAATGATAAATATAAACAAGTTTCACCAAATGAAATCATTTCTCTTTAGTCCCTCCAGGATAGTCGATCTGGTGGTGTAGTCTCTAGTTAGAGTATCCATCAGAGTTCGACCCCCGTAACGAAAATGGGGAATAACCAAACAATCCGAATAAGGGTTGGGGTCTGAAGTGGGATCAGGTCCTTTTTTTGAACAAAAAAAAAAATCATTTCTCTTTAAAGTTACGCTATTCAAATTTGAGGAAAGAAATTTCAATATAATTTACATAGTGTTACAATTGCAATAGCACTATGAATCATTTTGCAATCCATGATTAATAGAAAAAAAATAAAGAAAAAAGTAGCTAAAATTAATAAAGGTTCATAAAATGACATAAAGGAGAACAACAAATTA